GGGTGGCTCAGTTGGTTAAGCGACTGCCTTCGGCTCAGGTCATGATCCTGGAGTCCCGGGATCGAGTCCCGCATCGGGCTCCCTGCTCGGTGGGGAGTCTGCTTCCCCCTCTGACCCTCCCCCCTCTCATGTGCTCTCTGTCTCTCTCATTCTGTCTCAAATAAATAAATAAAATCTTTAAAAAAAAAAAAAATCACCCACAGGCGCCTGGGTGGCTCAGTTGGTTAAGCGACTGCCCTCGGCTCAGGTCATGATCCCAGGGTCCCGGGATCGAGTCCCACATCGGGCTCCCCCTTCTCCGTGGGGAGCCTGCTTCTCCCTCTGCCTCTGCCTGCCACTCCCCCTGCTTGTGCTCACTCTGTCTCTCTCTCTCTCTTTATGTCAAATAAATAAATAAAATCTTTAAAAAAATAAAAAATGACCCACATGCATCACTAAAACCCTATAAACACCTTTCCTTGACTTCTCTGTTCTGAGATACTATCAAGACAGTCAAAGTGGCAGTCTACGTACTGTTTCAGGTCCAGTAAACACAGCCTTCTTGGTCAGCAGGCATTTCTAATGGTTTTTTTGGTGACTTTTTGACACCATGTCATGGCTTACTTCCTTGAAGAGCAGTGGCCATGATCCACAGATAGAAATAATTTTACATCATAAGCACTACACTCATAGATGTCCATAGGGATGACTTGGGATTGAGGCCACTATCAGACTACCTTAAAGAAGATGCTAAACATCTGTGATGAGGACCTTTTTTTAAAAAAGTCATTACCCTCTGGCACCTGGGTGGCTCAGTCAGTTAAGCGTCTGCCTTTGGCTCAGGTTGTGATTCCAGGGTCCTAGGACTGAGCCCCATGTCTGGCTCCCTGTTCAGTGGGGAGTCTGCTTCTCTCTCTGTCCCCCACCTTGTGCTCTCTCTCGACCTCTGTCTCTCAAATAAATAAATAAAATCTTTAAAAAAAAGTCAATACCCTCATATGCTGGGGCGCCTGGGTGGCTCAGTCATGGAGTGTCTGCCTTTGGCTCAGGTCATGATCCCAGGGTCCTGGGATCAGGCCCCGCATCAGGCTCCCTGCTCAGCGGGAAGCTGCTTCTCCCTCTCCCACTCCCCCTACTTGTGTTCCCTCTCTTGCTGTCTCTCTGTCAAATAAATAAATAAAATAAAGTAAAAAACACCCTCATTTGCTACCTCATCCATAGCATTTGCAATGTGTCTAGTTGAATCGTTCTAAGCAATTTAATGGACCCAACTTAGTTATTGGGGTAACATTTTTCCTTACAAAGTAGTTGGGAGATGAAAACAATTTTCTAATCTCCCAAATGATAAGCTCTCACAAAATGAAGTGTGGAAAATGTAGTAGGTCATTGCAAACTTCATCTCAACGTGGATTTTGTAAGTTACCAAGCTAAAGTTCTGCTTGATGCAGAGTTGCGGTTACCCTGGATTTAGCCCCAAATCACTGTGTGAGAGGCAGGAGTCTCATAAGGAGGTAATTGCCCCAGTCACGTGAATAATCAGATCTTTTTCAGTAATGACTTCAAGAGGATACCAGCCCTAAGCCTGTCAGATTCTAGGAACCCAATATGACTGGAGACCTGGGGGTATACTATATGTGCTAGTTAGAGCCCAAATGAAATTGATGATCTCTTGGTAAAGGAGAATTCATGTGTTCTTGTGAAATGAGAGATGCTCAAATTAATTTTCAACTTTAGAAAATGGCCAGTGGAATACATTTGTTTAAAAACCAAAACAAAGGGGCGCCTGGGTGGCTCAGTTGGTTAAGCGACTGCCTTCGGCTCAGGTCATGATCCTGGAGTCCC